AAGAAGTGGAAGAGCCAGAGAGGATGGAGGACATCAGGAAAACAAGGCCCTCTAAGCCAACCTGATAGAAGCACATATGAACTCACAGAGACTGAGGCAGCAGGCACAGATACTGCATGGGTCAGCACCAGTTGGGGTCCTAGGAGAACCTCCAATTGATAACCACTTGCAAATGAAAACTGGCTTCCCCCAAGGGAGTCTCACTGGGGAATCAAACTACTCTTAAGGGTATAGGCTACATGCCCAGCAGTAGATGGCCAAGAGTAAATGAACTCAATGGCATCTTTGGAGGTTTCTTGTCTCAAACTCTGTCAGGACTCTCCCTTTAAAAAATTATCTTATTTTTAGTCTATATTTTATCTCTTTTTACCTACAAGTCCTTTGATTATACATTACATCTTTCAGTTTAGTGTTTTTATGGGTTTCCTGAGTGTGCAAACGAATGGATCTCTGTTTCTTGTACCTTGTCTTGGGCTCTTTTCATCCATTTGTTTACTTTATCAATTCTGATGTATTAGTTTTTGTTTATCTTCCCTTGTTGTTATCCCACAGAAGCTTGTTTATTTTCTAGTGAAGAAAAAAGGGGCTGAGTCCAGATGGGAGGGAAGGGGAGAAGGATCTAGGAGGACTAGAGGGAAAGGGAACCATAAATCAGGATATATTATATGAGAGAAAGAAATCTATTTTCAATAAAAGGAAAAGAAAAAAAGCAAGCAGTAGCAAAGCTTGTTTGGAACATCCATGACTTTTCAGTTGTATAAATAAAATGTCATATAATGTTTAGTAACCAAGTCTTTCCAGTAAGTTTAAGAGAATGGGTAAGGATAGAAGAAGGAAACAAATTCTCTTGCAGACTTCTGGAGGAAGTCTAGGTTTCTTCCTACACGGACTAAGAAATTGGTCCTTCACACTCCTTTGGAGACAAATGGGGACAGCCTGGATAGCTCATCACCCTTTGATATTGTGCAGTTTGTCAACTTGATAACTTTGAAGTGAACAATATAGAATAAGTTTTGGCAGAATAGTGAGAGCCATGGAGTCTTTTGACCGATATGGGCAAATAACCCAATACTGACAAAGCTCTTGCTGTTGCCAGTGATCTTTTTTTGTTATGTGTTAGAATCGCGACAATCCCTGCTGTTGTTAATAGGAAAGGAAATGTTTGTAGTAGTGCTCAAAATACATCTCCATTCACAAGGTACATCATCTGCCCAGCTCCTAACTAGCATGGAGGGCAAAGAGTTTAAATTATTTGTTTTGCTTTCCTAGTATTTATCTACTGTAACTCTAAGTTCTCAAAAAAAATGTGTGCTGGACTGATGTAAGTGCATCAAAAGGAGGGATGGAATTAATTATTGCCCTAAATAACAAACAAACTGGTAGGGTCCAAACCACATGAGAACACTAACAATCATTTAAGTTCCTGTTGTAACTATAGGCAAATTATTTATCTGATTTGACTCCCTTTTTTAGACCAGTGATTCTTACCCCTTCTAATGCTATCACCCTTTAGTACAGTTACTCATGTTGTAGAGAGCCCCAACCGTAAAATTATTTTTATTGCTACCTCATAACTGTAATTTTGCTACTGTTATGAATTGTAATGTAAGTACCTAGATTTTCTGATGGTCTCAGGTAACTCTTGTGAAAGGGTTGTTCAACCCCTAAAGGGGTCTCAGCCCACATGTCGAGAACCACTGCTTTAGACCGTCGTTTTAGATCAGTTGCCAGCTTACATAAGGGGCATTCTCAGGAGATCAGTTATAAAAGCTGCTAGTATAATACTTGATAAAGGGAAGGTCTCTTTCTCAGATCTGCCCAGTCTTTCGTACTTGTAATACTTCTTTAGTTTATACAATCAATATTTAAAAAAAAACAAAAAAAATCCAAAAAAAAACCAAAAAGAAAAAACTAGTTCTAGACTAGAGGCTGGGGAGACGGCTCATTGGCGAAGCTCTTGCTGGACTGGCGTGAATATCTGAATTCAAATCCCCAGCAATCACGTAAGAAGCTAGGCATGGCAGCCTGTATCCATAACCCTAGTGATAGGGAAAAACAAGCAGACAGAGATAGGTAGATCCCAGAGACTCAAGAGCCACAGATTGTTGGTACTATACTGGTTAGTTAGACTAAAAATAGGAAGTTCCAGGTTTGTGGAGAGACTTTGCCCCTCCCCCCATACGGAACAGCCAGGCAGTGGTGGCACACACCTTTAATCCCAGCACTTGGGAGGCAGAAGCAGGTAGATCTCTGAGTTCAAGGCCAGCCTGGTCTATAGAAAGTGTTCCAGGACATAGAGAAACCCTGTCTCGAAAAACAAAGACAGACATATGAAAAAACTGAGGAGCAATTGAGGAAAATATTTGAACATACACATGGGCAAGCACCCTCACACACACACACACACACACACACACCTGCATACATGTACCTTTCTACACACAAACATACACCAATGCTTTAAAAAAGTGATATACAGGTTGACCATAGCAGCATATGTCCAGACTCCTAGGACTTGGGAGGTTGATGCACGAAAATATCCATGATTTGAGGCCAGTATGAGATGCATAATGAGTTCCAGGATAGCCTGAGCTACATAATAAGACTCTATTTGCAAAGCAAAAATAAATGACGTACAGTGGTGCAATGATTTCCAAGGCTGCACTTTGCAAGTCACATCTCACAATGCTTTTCTAGCTGTCATTATGGCAGTTGAAGAACAATTGCAGAGAATCTCATTCGTGTGTGTGTGTGTGTGTGTGTGTGTGTCACACTGATTGTGCTTCCAGATAGTTTTCTCTCCCAACACTTGCCCCTCATCATGTGGGGAAAATCTTTCATGTCCTTGAAATACTTAGAAAAGGTCAATGTTTTCCTTTAGCCTAATACCTAAAGGCAGAGCAAGCACATACACAGAACACAGTCTCTTCTTCCCTATCCCCTTCTTTCTCACTCTACTCTTTTTCTCTGCTAAGATTCTAGAGCTGAGAAGGGAACTCATGGATTTGTAGTACCCCCTAAATGTATAATTGGGATAATAGTTTTTAAAGAGGACATTTAGGTGACCCATGTATTTACTGGCAGAGCCAGGACAAGATCCGAGACCCCAGCCAGCCCAACCCACCTTTGGTACAGCAGCCTATCTCTTGCTATACAGCAGTCAATCTTCAAGCCCAAAATTATTTTTGTTTCTGCTTTACAAATTGAATTTAATTGCAGACTTTTCCATTTTAAAGTTGACAACTGGCCTATATTGCTCTATTTACTACTGTGTCATTACCACTGATAAAAATTGTCATTGTATCATTGCTATTGATAGAAATCAACAGTAAGTATTTACTCCTGAGGATTTAACCCCAAGAGAAAGGTGGAAACTCCCAGAGGAGCCTGGAAGGGAAGTTTTTAAGAGAGTGACTATTTGGGCAATATAGCATTTCTCCTGGCAATTTAGTATTGCAGGTCCTTAAGCAACGAGAGAAGCAAAAACGAAGAGCTTTCCATTTTTATCTGGTTCACTCTCAAAGACCATAATCTTCAAGTTGGAGAGGGGAGAATCAATAACTGTGCAATGGAATTAGAGGCCAAGAAAAGTAGGAAAGAAATAGAATACAGCGAACTGCTTCAAATGGATTAAAGTTTTTTAAATGACAGGCTTCATTTATATCACCAGGTGCTGGTCAAACTCAGCAGAAATAATTATGACATAAGTAATTTTTGAGGATGAGGTGGGGGAAAAAGACAAGTGGAATGAAATGAATGAGGACAGCTAAGTCCTAAACCACAGATTGATAAACGTGCTATAGATTTCCCATAAGTATCAATGCAATATAAAAATTTGGTAAGTGCCAAAAAGTAGAATGAAGAAAATAACTCAAAATTTGTACCTCTGTCATGCAGGGAACTATTATTTTATGTGAGATTATGAATATGTTTTATTACCATTGGTTATTAAGAAGCTGTTTCAACCAATGGCTTACTAGAGTAAAGCCAGGCAGAAAGTCTGAACAGAGATATAGAGAGAAAGTAGGTGAAGTTGAAGAGATACCGTGTAGTTGCTTAAGGAGACAGATGCTCAGAACCTTTACCGGTAAGCCGTAGCCTTGTGGCAGATACACAGATTAATAGAAATGGGCTAATTTAAGATATGAGGTCTATCTAGAAATATGCCTGAGACATTGGCTGAACAGGGTTGTAATTAATATAGTTTCTGCGTGATTATTCAGGTCTGAACAGTTGGGGAATGAATGAGCAATCTCTGCCTACAATTCTTAAAGTTTGTTTCATATATAAATTTACACACACAAATGTATATTTACATATAAAAGCTAAGGTTTAACATTTTGTATTGGGTGCAAACTAATCTAACTTTGTGGACATGCCATAATATGTTTAATCAGTTTCTAAGAACTCAACATTTAGTTAAAATATATTTTCAGAAAATGTGAGTACTTAGGACACAAAGCAATGACATATCTCAATTCTTTGATCAAAAGTCCTGTCAAATACACTCAGTTTTAAAAGTGCTATTTCTATGTGACCCAAAAGGTAATAATGGAGTACAAAGTGGTTCAGAAAATGACGAAGATCAAACATTTTTGATTGGCACAGTCACTGAGTCGATGGCACCATCAAACGCTATAGCTGAGAGAACAAAGGAACCCCAAAACTTAATCTGGATTAGAGAGGGTGGCCGTGGAAATATCTGTTGGAAAAAATTGCTTTTAAAGTTGCAGGACTGAATGGTAGATTGCATTTAAACTGTCAAGAAGAGCTTGGGAAAGATGCTTTTAGATTTCATAGACAAAAGTCAGATTCCAACTCATAAAAGCAAATCATAAAAGACAGTATAGATCATCCCAGGAAATTAATCCATACCACTTAAGAACAACATAATGTCATCTTAACACTTCGTACATGCCAAGAATATAAAGCAGGTCATCGAACATAACGATCGGCTGTGTATCGATCCTGCGCTACCTTTATAAAACGCTAACGCTTACGGTATCAGCTTCTTTTCCGTCAATCATCTGAAGATCATCCAAAGACCACTTCTTTGTTACTTCGTACTTTTCATCTAGACCCACTCTGTAATGCTTCACCATGATAATCTTCACTTCATCAGTTTTGGTCACTGTAGGACAGAAAAAACACAGATTCTTACTTCATACCTTCATTCTCCAAGTCCCATATCAGTATTATTTCTCTCCCTTTTATTTAATGTCCTTGTACCCAAATTATAAGTACACTCCTAATGTAAGTCCTGGTGTAACTGAACTTTTGTCAATATGCCCCCAGATTTGCCTAAGACTTTAACTTTATTTTGTGACAATTGTCCGTCAGAACACCGAGCAATGTACTTCGAACTCTGGCCTTTGTGGTGAGGCAGAAAACAGAAGACTGAGCAGAAGCAGACAGTGGAGGACAAAATGCTCACCAGAGCAAGCCAGAATCTTATTTGGTGACCTTATGAAAAATTAAGGTACGAATAGCAAATGGCTCTGCCCGCACAGCAACTCAGTCCTGAAGAGTGACCATGCACAATGGTGACACTTCCTTCTAAAGTTGCTGTGAGACTTTGAATGCAGGTGTGCCCGTGACACAGCTTCCACTGACTTGTTTGGTAATGTTTGAGATTGTCACTGTGTGGCTCCAACTCTAGCGTTCCAAATGTGTCACCAGCACAGACAGTTTTAATATTCTGCTTTGAAAGGCATGGGAGAATCCTTCTGTATTTCATATGAACAAAACTGAAATTTCCTTGTCCTGAAATCACTTGTCTCTGGTCTCATTGGAATATCAAGTTGTTCTATGAAATTATCAATGAGTCAAATACTCCTCAGTATTTACGGGGTATTTGCTGTTTGCTGAGTAAATGCCATAGGGAGACTGCTAAGAAACCTGGTTTCTGCCCTGACACTCAGGATTTCAGTAAGAAGGGAGACTATGCAGGGGTCATATGTACTAGGTTATTGGAAGGAGGTGGTTGCGGGTCCGGGGAGGATGCCTAAACTCTTCAGATGGTTAATGTCACCCGGAGAGTTGTGAGCTGGTTGTGTCTTCTCAGAGTGAGACTGGGATTTGTTTTGGGGAAAGATTCCTTTGGTTATGAGAGACTTTGGTATGCTGCTGTGATTTGAATGGGTCCTCCAAGTTCTGTTGCTGGAAACTTCATCTGCATTGCAGTGATATTGAAAGGTGAGGCCTTTCAGAGATTAGGTCAGGAGGTCAGAGCCCTCATGAATGGATCAATGGTGCCATGGCAGGGGTGAGGTAGCTTTTGCAGGAGGATGCTCCAAGTGAAAGGATGCTCAGCCTGACCTTTGCACATATTTTTTCTTCTCTTGTTTCCCCTCTCATACTCTTTCTCTCTCTGCCTTTTACTACAGGTGATGTAACAAGAAGACTCTCGCTAGATGTCTCAGTCTTGGAATCCTCATCTCCCACCAAACTCTGAGAAATAAATCTGCTCTTTATAAATTCCTAAGTCATGAGTCATTTGTTATAGTAGCACAAGTCACACTGAGACAGACACATGACCTTCTAGCTATGTAGATATAAAGCAATGCATTAGAGTACCCTCATAGTCATAGATGAGAGACATGAACAGACTGTCCAGAGTGGAAATAGAGGATCGCTATGTGGGCACTTCTGGGAGAGGGTCAGTCTGAGGAAACTGACAATCTCACCAGGTGAAAGGAAAAGAGGGGACTGTGTAGAGTGGCTGGAATTAAGATACGGTGGACAATAAGGTTAGTTAGGTTTGGAAAGATGTTAAAATGTTTTAAGTGGCTTTGGACCTCAAAAGAGGCAGAAACCACTCTGGAGTTGTGAGGAATCTAGAAGTGACCGGCTGATCTCAGAGTTGACAGAGTGAGTACAGCTTCCTAGAGAAGGGAGTCTGGGCCAGCTGACAAGTCCAGCTTAAGGGCATTGCGACAGGTGTTCCGTGCAAGTTCCTACAGCAACACCTAGTCAATAGTGAGCCAAGATTTAATGACACGGTGTCCTGGGCAAGAATTTCCCTGGCAACACAATGCACAGGACTCATAAGAGAAGGTCATGGAGCTGAAGGACCTTGGGGAGGAGACACTGCTCTCAGCGGGCTCTGCCGTGCCATGTCCTAGAGTCGTATCCTGACACCACTGCAGTGTGGTTTACAAGAGATCATTAACCACTAGAGAATAAATGGCACTCACTGGTGTTAGGAGGGGCTCACGAGAGTAAAACAGACTCATATGGAAAAACGAACGCACACAAATGACTCAAGAGAGTGCCCAGTAGACCTCCATGGTTGTTGGTAGCCTCAGAATGGTTTGTGGGCGGTAAAAAAATTGTCAAATTGAAGTCAAGTTTCAGGTAAGGTTTTGATGATGCTGGATTAGGATGCTACATGGTGGGAACCAAACAATGGTGGTGAATCCAAACAGAAAGGGGGTGGATGTGGGCCAGACGGTGGAATAAAGGTGGTGTACGAGTGAAGTGTCTGCAAGTTACCTCGGCAGGGACTGAGATGGAAGTTACATAGTCTTGGAATGATTTGAGACTTGTGTCTGCGGGATGATTTTCAAGGTCAGACTCAAGGGGACATTTTCAGAGGCAAGAAGTGAGAGAGAAAAGATGACAGCTAAGAGGCTGGAGAAGAAAGAAGAGGCAGGCCCGACAGCATCATGCCATGGAAATCAGCTAATGAGAACAGCTCCTATGGAGTCACTGAGCTGAGACAGAGAGGCAAGGGCCTGAATCTGACTCGAAAATCACTGACCCCTGCCCTGAAGGCTATTTCTATGTGGTGACTGGTGAAGGCAGCTTGCACTAATGTGCAAGGACTCTGTGCACTAACACAGAGTCCATGTGTGCTACGTGCTGGCTCCTGGACAGTAGCACAAATAATAACAACTCAGAGACAGAAATTGGGGTTCGACCTGAAGGCCAGAAAAACAAACAGCCAGCCACTGGCTTTTACCTTTACCTCTGTCCAAAATGACAAGCCTGCTTCCAGGAATCTCAGAATGAGACTGCGTGTGAGAGCTGTCTTCTCCCATCTTATATTCCTCTCTAGGGCTGGGATTAAAGATGTACACCACTGGAATCAAAAGCATGCACCACCAGGTTTCTATGGCAACTAGTGTGGTTATGGGGAATAAAGGTGTGCGTTACCACTGCCTGGTCGGTAAGGCTGACCAGTGGGGTGATTTTACTCTCTGATCTTCAGGCAAGCTTTATTCATTAGAATATAAATGAAATATCACTACACTGGGCCAGGTAAGACTTTAAAAGCTGGTAGTAGGAGGAGTTAAAGGGTATGATGTACACCTCACACTCTAGGAGTTTCGAGGAGAAGGGATGACACATTTGGGGACAGAGGAAGTAACTGAGGGGCATGTCTGGAGAAGACATCAATTATAGGTCTTAACTTGGGGTCAGTGAAGGCAGAGACTCTGGGATCTTCCTGAAATTGTGAGAAGTTGGTGTATTTCAGCACTTCTATATTTATCTGACTCCAAAGAAGATCCAACCGCATGGGCCTACCTGTTAGCCTTGGGAAGATGCACACACAAGATGAGGACGGTGGGCTGAAGGGGAAGGTTTGGTAGCTTCCACGAGGAAGCAGTATGTCTGTCTCGTTAGAAGACCCACCTCAGAATCAGGACTGTTATCGCCCCAGCTTGCTGTCTCAGTAGCAGTAGAGGGCCCAAGAGACGACAGCGGCAAAGAGATTTGGAGAGATTATTGTACATTGTATGGAAGTATGATTTTCAGGGAACAAATCCCACGGCATCGTCTACAAGTTATGAAAGCCTGCTGATTGACTGTGGAGCCTCTCACCCTCTTCATTAAGCCCATAAATATTTAAATGTCCCTTGTGAATCAAGCACAGTGCTAGGAATTGAAAAAAATTAATGAATTCCCATAAGGCCCCATTTCTGCTCTCACTGTGGCTGCAGAGAGTGGAGGCTTCAGAAGAAAATCTGCAAAGGGTGTTGTCAGCAGTGTGTGAATGAGGCCCTGTTGGATGAGGGCCAAGGAAGAGGGGGTGTGGCCAGGACAATAGAGGAGGGGCATGGCCATCTACCTGACTACAGGAAAAAAGGCTCGGAGAGGGATGAACCCGAACTGTCAAAGGCAACAGAACTTACTAGAAGGAAGAAAGGGATAAAGGCAATTTTAGCAATGTGTGGGTGCAAAAGCAAAAAGCATCCGGCATTTTTTGAGTCATGGCAAGTATTTGGTATTGTTGGCATGAAGCAAGAAGGTGAACAGGAAGAAGGGTAGGGAGGCGTTAGTTCCCGCAAGGACTGGAATAGGTTCAGACATTATTCTGAAAACTGTGTACACACGGGGTGCCACTGAAAGGGATTAGATAAATGGAGAGGCCATGATTTGCATAAAGGATGGGCTGGCGGTAAGGAGAGGAGAAAAGATGTTAAGACGATAATCCCTACCAGTGACCAAATTTTCTTACGATAATGGTCATTTCCCCTTCGGACGAGACTCAGACAACATAAGGACGCGCCTGGAAGTTAAGCTTTTGCAAGATGGCGTGGTGCAGAGGGAGAGCAGCCGCCTTCGTCTGATAAAACGACAACCTACTTTAGGGCTAAGGACTTTCCAAGAGTTCTCTTCAGCCACGAGCCAAAGGAGTCTGCTGAGGCTGGAGTTGACCCAATCCCTAATTTCCATGCCTGGGCTTGGCTGCCAGCTGGAATTAAGTGGCTGTCTCCACATTAATGCAGTTGGAAAATGGAAACTTGTCACATTGTCTTAAGAGCCCAAATGTGTTTTATAAAGTGTGAATGTTAGCGAGTTGTTTTCTCTCACTCAGAGGATCCGGTTTGTTACTGTGATTTAAGGGTGGTATCTACGGATCTGGTTTGTAACTATAGTTTAGGGATGATATCTACGGATGTGGTTTGTAACTATGGTTTAGGGGAGATATCGATGGTTTAGGGGTGATATCTACAGTTCTGGGGAGCTGCAGAAGAAGCCTGTTCTGGATTTAAGATTTTATTTTATTTTCCCAGGTTTTACATTTCAGTGGATATTTTCAGAATTCCAATTTTTATAACCATCACTATTTCAATTTTAAAGGAAGTTTTGTCTTTAAGAAATCCCATCACCTCTTAAAAAAAAACACCAGCATTTAGGAAGCTAATGGAAGAGAACTGGCCACTGGCCAATTGGTTTGAAAAAAAATAGTCAAGATCGAGGAAATGTGAAACTCACAATTAAGTCTCCCAGAAATGCATTAAATAAATAGATGCTTCTTTTGTTTTGTAATTTGGTGTTATGTAATGGTTTTCATCATTTAAATTAAATCACAGAAGTCATCATGAAATACTTTTAAAAGCCTCAGTGAAATGTCACACTCGATTGCTAATGCCCTGTGGTTGTTGAGAAGGCTAAGGCTGATTTCACCAAAATCATATTTTCAAATAAAAATTTTCTATAAATGTCTTTATAAAATCCATTTTAGGCTACATCATGAAATCTTTAAAATAGCAAAATGATTGGTTTGAAACAAGTTAGGACTTGTGTTATTGGTGAACTTATAGAAATGCAAGACGTGGAAAAGAAAGAAGCTGGTTTTTTGTAGAAACAGAAGAGCCAGTGAGGTTTATTCAAGGTTTGTTTTATCAGCCCCATTCTAGAATATTCCTAGTGTACCACCGAAAGCAACGTGGTTGAAAAGTTAAGCACACATGGACCTGACTTTCAAGTCTCCCTTTGTCATCTACTGGTTGGTGATCTTGGGCACTCTGACTTCATTGTCTGTAAGAAGTGACAAATGTGCCAACATACACTAAGTTCTTGAAGTATCTGCACACACGTGCTGAGGTGCAGCTATTATCAGTTAGAGTGTGGAGATGTGGAAGGAAGTTTGGGTTTAGAATGAGAATCTGTAACCTTAGGTTAATCACTTAACTTTTTGTGAGCGTCGTCTCATCTGTAAAGCATCTCATCTGCACAAAGATAAAAAGGGAGAATTCACGGAAATGGCCTTAAATGAACTCATGTCTGACTCTGAGCAGTCAGACCTCACGGCCCTCCCTGGCATCTCAGCTGTGAGGCTTCACTCTAATAATGAAAGTGATTAAGCAGTTTTCCTTCTTCAAAACTTTATAGTTTTTGTGCAGGCTACACGTGGTGTGGCACAAAAATGTGGCCGATGGCAAAAACGTAAAACCCTTCGTGAAGTCCAGAAGCTTCAGAGAGCTCACCGAGATGCATAGTTTCACAGAGACTGTGGCAGCAGGCACAGGACCTACACAGGTTCGAGCTTGATGGGGTCCCAGCAGTTAGAGGGAAAGCAGACAGGGGTCTCACTCCTAACCGAGAAGCTGTTTGCAACCGATACTAGATGGTAAAAGGAAAATCAGTTTTATCCAATGGAGTCTCATGGGTGTACAGCCATGCTCCGGGGAAGGCCCAGGAGGAGTAAGGCCAACCCAAAATCAACTCAATGGTATTTTTGTGGACTTTTTGGTTTGTTTTGGCATTTTTTATCTTGGTGGTCTTTTGCTTATTTGTTTTGATTTTCTTTTTTTTGTTTGTTTGTTTCTTATTTTTTCTTAAGGAGGGAGATGGAGGGAGGGAGAGAGAGAGAGTGAGGAGGGAGAACATTAAGTTTTGAGTGGGGAGGGACCTGGGAGGAGCTGTGGAAGGGGAAAACATGATCAAAAGATATTGTACTGAAAAACAATGTTTAATTAAAGAAAGAAAGAAATATAAAAATGCATAAATCAGGACTAGTTAAGTATTTGAATGGGCACCTTAAACTAGTTGCATGCTGTTTTTATTTGTGAGTTCAATACAATAAAGTAATTTTTATTAAAAAAAACCATGATTGAAAAATGTTTTCCTAAAAGTATAAGGACGCTTAAAATAATCTAAAAATGAGTATATGCATCATTTAAAAAGCAACAGAATATATCAAGCTTTTATTATATATTTTATTTTTTATTATACAGATGTATTTACAACATATATATACAATCCAGTATATATATATATATACATACATACACATATATAGACATTAAATACTTTTCTATATATTTTAAAAGTTTAAGCTACCTCTTTCAAGGCTCTACTTTTACTTGCTTGTAATATAAACTATCATTAATAAAAATTTAGAAGGGAGAATTGTAGGGGAGCACTTTAGAGGTGTTTAAATTTTTTATGAGTTCTTTGAGAATGTTATATAACATACTTTGATCACATTTACCCCCATCCAACTCTTCCCAGATTCATCTCCCACTTAACCTACCCACTCAACTTTGAGTCACTCTACTCTTTTTTTTAATGATTAAGTTTAATTTGTCATATTCTCTTGTGTATGCGGCCATCAACAGGAGCATGGTCAACCCATCAAGAGCTACAGCCTTAAAAGGAACTGACTCCCCTTCTCCCAGTAGCTGTCGGTTGCCAATGGCTCCTCGGCTAGGGAAGGGATTCCTAGCCACCTCCCCACTCCATGGTGGGATTTTATCTAGCTTGAGCTTTCCACAGGTCTTCAGACACACTGTCACAGCCACTGTGAGTTCATAGGAGCAACTACCCTGCTTTTTATTTCTATTTCAGAGATGTGAGCAACAAGGCCATGAAGGATCACTCTCTTATGACCAACTTCACAGCTGACAGGCAACAAATCAGAGTTCGATTTTCCAATATGACCTGTGTCAAGAATTTCTAGGTCTGTCCCACCACGCCCTTTACTTCCTATCCAGTTTTGGCTAAAGCTACAACACAGATTTTCAAACTCTTCACTTTACATGTGTGACTTATTTTTTCCTCGACCTGCAGCAAGCAGGGCTCCTCCCTACACTGGAAGACATGGCTTTGAACTGGCAGGAAGAGTGGTGCTTTATGGTGGGATAAACTAGTCCCCAGGGAGGAGACACCATGCAAAGCCTGAGATGCAAAGCAAAGAGGTTCCAGGGGATGCCCAATGTACTTTGTAGCTAACTTCTGACAGGGGCATTGAGTGTATGGTGTCTTATTCTGATGTCAGTCATTGAATCATCAAGATGGAATAGAAATTCACAATTCTTGTTTTGGGTGGTTTTGAGACCACTACAAAGGTTGGACTCTGCTCAGATAAGAATGAAGTTCAACCATAGTTAAATGTATTATCTTTACTCAGAAAAATGCAATGGAATATGACTACTCTGGACCAATGGGTCTAATAAGCAGGAACCACTGGATGAAAGGCAATGAAAGGGTTAAAGAGGATGAAGAGGCAATCATGTGACCTTACTCCCTGAAGGTAGACGGGGCTTGAAGTATGGAGCCCCCTGCTTCAACAAGTATCCAGTGACTTGTTTGATTCCTGCCAATAGATGTTTTCCAGGTGAAGTAGTGTCCCACTTTCGGCACTGTCGAGAATCATTTAAACTGCTGTTTGGTTGAAATGTTTTTTCTAACGGTTCTTTAAAAAAAGTGTTACATTTTGGGAAAGTTCTCCCAGGCTGAGGGACATGAAGTATAGCTGTGAAAGTGAGGAACTAATAAGGCTTTTATTTTGTGTGCATTAACTTTAGGTGGAATATCCTGAAATCATTTCTTCCTCATCTCAAGAGGAGCTTGATTTCAGAATCCCTGAATAAATACTTTCCAAATGTTTAATTGTAGGATATATGTATATATATATATATATATATATACTTAGAACAAACTTAGTTAATTATAGAATTATTAAAGGGAGCCCCTAAGATATTTTTGGCAAATTAGATTTCATAACTTACTATGACTATTCTAATTTTAAAACTTTTTATTTTAAAATACTGCCAGTGCTACCTAGTGAGAAGCTACTTTTATAAAGCAAGAATCATAACAGGTAAAAATTATTATATTTTATATTAGAATAGACATCCTCTTTTAGCATAGTGAGTAAAAATACCTTTTGATTCAGTGAACGGGTGAATGAGAACACAATGTGATCTACTATGTAATTTTAATTCCTCTTTTTACATAACTTAGTTGATTTTATGAACTGTTTAAGTCTCTTACATCTGTTAACATGCCAATTCCCCATGTTTCAGATGTGTAGTAAAATAAGCTTAGGCATTAGATAAGTATTACTATTCTTAATGTTGGATAATTACTTCTACATTTATTAAGAATTGTAATCTTCTAAAGGATTCTTAGAACTTTCTTCAAAGATGCTTGGCTTCCTCTCAGCACGTTTAGAATGCTCTTACAGACCAGTTGTCAGGAGGACAGAGGTAGTGGGCTGTATGAAAATGGGCGTTTGCCTTACAGAGGAACATCTGCAAGTAGCCCTAGGGTTTCTGAGCTCTCTCCTCCTAAGTCCGCGAAGGGGACAGAGTGGCTCGGGCCAGGAAAAGAGAGAGCGGCATACCAAATTCAATAATGAGATAATGACACAAACATTTCTACATAAATTCATAAAAAGTTTGGAAAATCATAATGAATGAAAAAGCCAGTGCAGGGACAATTGTCGTATATTTTGGCAACAGGAAGGAAATACTTATTTTACTAAGTTCTTTATACTTCAGATCTCTACATTAGGGACTGTGCCCCCCTCCCTAAAGTTCTGTCTTCTTGGACTAATATCTACTATTAAAGCATTGGTATTGTTTTTCTGTAAGAGAATGTTTCTAAAGAGGATCTCTTTCTTCAAATTATCCACCAGGAAGTGTCAATAGGTCCTTGGAGGAAAAGTCTAAGGTTCCGTTTTTGTTCTACACAGAAAGGCATTGGGAATGGCTATCTAACTGGGTTCTGTGATGCATTTAATCATATTCAGAAAGCTGCAAAATTGTATGCTATGAAGCAAATTGGGTAAGAGATTGGGGGAAAAAAATCAAACCAAGAGAAGGTCAGATCCAATTTCACTTCTGAACCATTAATGTTGTGTAATACATTTTTTGGGGTGGGGGTGGGTGGGTGCTCCTTAGCACTCTAAAAGTCCGTAGAATATACATTCCTTAACCTGGCTGATTAAACTCTCAAGACGCTCCATGCATGCCTGAGCTGGGTAGGAAGACAGACAACGCTTTCCTATACCGCATATTTAGCTTTGAGTTCTTTGCATTTTGAAACGATACTAGAAAGCGCTGCTTACCTGACACGCAGAGGTAATACCTGTCCTGGACCGAGAACTCGATCTCAATAAACTCGCAGAGATTCTGCGCCAGCGGCTTGAACAGTTTTTTCTCCAAGTCCTCCTTCACCAGCGATGACATCTCGGGTTCCACCTGGCTCAGCCGCTTTCCTTGCGGCTGCCGCTGCTTGTTGCAGCTTAAGTCTCCTTTGGGTGTGCAAGCCCCGGGGTTTTCGCTCTACCCTTCTTATTCGGAGCAAAAGGCCCAGCTCTGACAGTGGCAGCCCCACCTCAGCAGCCTCAATCCAGTATTTATTAACCTCTTCGGCATCTTCAGCATCGCGCCTGCTGCAAGCTGCTCTGGGGAGCCCTGGGCTGGCTCGCTGATGGGGGAGCATATTGATGAACACTGACAGATGGCCACAGGTCTACTTGTGGAGCCTCTGGGTCGGCAGCCTTTCCCCTTTCACGGCAGCACTATGCAGAGAAAGACCACGGCTTCAACTTGAAGCCATTATATAAATCAGCTGTCTGGTGCTATTGATTCGGATCAGCTTCCATTAAGAACTTTGCTTTCACTGCGCAGAAAAAAAGGCATCTGTGTTTATTGCTAACACTTCCAACAGGTCTCTCTCCTCGCCCCTGCGATGCACACAAGCCTTTGCTTCCAAGAGTTTGCACCAATTCCTTGGCCTAAAGTATTCTTAAGATGGCCATTTCTATGGGTCCACTTTAATTCTATGTGTGCCTCCACTCCAATGAAAATCTGTTAGGCACCTGCTAGAGGGAAGCACTCATTATTTGTTTCTCAGGAGGATGAATTTTCTCTTCTCAAGGAGCTTATGGTCTAATAGAGGAGAGGGACACCACACCAAATAAATATTTGACCCACACAGGTGAGAACATGGCACACAAGAGAAGGGAAAACTTGGGAGGAAGGGTGTATGAGGTGTCTTAATCATGGTCCTATCGCTGTGAAGAGATGCCATGGCCAAATGAACTTAAAAAAGAAGGCATTTAATTGGGGACTTGCTTGCTGTTTCAGGGGGTGAGCCCATAACCAACCTGGCAGGGAGTGTGGCAGCAGGCATGCGGGCACAGGACTGGATCAGTAGCTGAGAAGTTACATCCTGATCCCCAGGCAGGAGGCAGAGAAAGAGAGAGACACAGAGAGAGAAACAGAGAGAGTTAGAGACAGAGAGAGAGAGAAACAGAGAGTCAGACAGAGAGACATAGAGAGAGAGACAGAGATAGAGAGACAGAGAGATTGGATCTAGTGTGGGATTTTGCCACCTCAAAGCCCACCAACAGTGGTACACCTTCTCCAATAAGGACATGCCTCCTAACCCTTGCCACACAATTCTGTCAAACGGAGGACCAAGCAGTCAAATATCTGAGCCTATGGGGGCCATTCTTCATTCAACCACCTTACCAGAAATCTGAGGAAGTGGCATGTGAAGGTGAGGAACAAAGCTGGCAGAAGAACACGGAGGTGGAGGCAGAACCAAAGCCTCAGTGAAGCCCAGGGTCTTGACTGCGCCCAGTGCTCCCTCTTCAAAATGCACAGGTGGTTGGGACTCGTTACCAGCACTGGCTGCTCTTCCACGTGACACAGAGTCAGTTCTCAGCATCTCCCTGTAGCATGACGGGCTGGCTTGTTGGGGTTTCCGTCCCGCCCGGTACCCCACAGCTGGCAAATCCCAAAGAGAAAATCACTCACAAGACTTCATAAGATTATAAACGGATTGGCCCATTAGGTCAGGCTTCTTATTAGTCCTTGTAACTTATATTAATCCATTATCATTATCTATGTTAGCCATAATGGCTCAGTACCTTTTCCAGCAAGGCAGCTTACATGCTGTCTCTTCGGTGGTCTGCACAGGAATGGCTGAGGAAGCTTCTGCTTCCAGAAGACTCCCAGTCTCTTTGCTCCACCCCTACTTCCTGTCTGGCTTTCCCGCCTATACTGCCTGCCTGGCCAATCAGCGTTTTATTAAAATATGATTGACAGAATACAGACAATTCTCCCACATCATCTCCCTAGTGGGTTTTGTTCCCAGTACCTCTATGTTGACTTGCAACATCCACAACCTTAGTTCCAAGGAGATCTTAAGCCCTCTGGTATCCACAGACACCAGTCACACATAGAGTACACAGACACACATGCAGGCGAAACACCAATTCACATACAAAAATAATCAGTCCATCAAAAAATGCACCAGAGGCCATGGGATTAGGATGGAACAAACTCTGCTAGACCCTGACCAGGAATGCTCTGTTCCTCTGAGGCTTACTGAAATCCCGTCTCTCTGTTGAAATTCCAGACCCTTCCCTCCTACGGTCGCTGCCCAACTCCATCATCCACTACCAACCACATCTAGCTAGCCAAGGCAAGGCAGTTTCTTTTTTTCTTTTTTTTAATTTAAATTTATTTATTTATTAAAAATTTCCACCTCCTCCCCACCTCCCATTTTCCTCCCCCTCCCTCTACTCCCCCTCCCTCTCCAGTCCTAAGAGCAGTCAGGGATCCCTGCCCCATGGAAGTCCAAGGTCCTCCCCCTCCATCCAGGTCTAGTAAGGTGAGCATCCAAACAAACCAGGCTCCCACAAAGCCAGTCCATGCAGTAGAATCAAAACCCAGTGCCATTGTCCTTGGCTTCTCAGTCAGCCCTCATTGACAGCCACATTAAGAGTGTCCATTTTGATCATATGCTCCATCACTCCCAGTCCAGCTGGCCTTGTTGAACTTCCACTAAATCAGTCCCACCATCTCAGTGGGTGGACGCACCCCTCGCGGTCCTGACTTCCTTGCTCACGTTCTCCCTCCTTCTGCTCCTCATTTGGACTTTGGGAGCTCAGTCCAGCGCTCCATTGTGGGTCTCTGTCTCTATCTCCATTTGTCGCCAGATGAAGGTTCTATGGTGATAGGCAAGATATTCATCAGTGTGGCTATGGGACAAGGCCAATTCAGGCACCCTCTCCTCTGCTGCCCAAGAAACAAGCTGGGGACATCTCCTTGGACCTGGGAACCCCTCTAGAGTCAAGTCTCTTGCCAACCCTAAAATGGCTCCCTTAATTAAGATATCTACTTCCCTGCTCCTATATCCAGCCTTCCTCCATCCCACCCATCCCATTCCCCCAAGCTCTCCCCAGTCCTCCCCTTCTCCCTTTTCTCTACCCATCTCCCCTTACATCCCCAACCCCACCCCCATGCACCCAACTTTTGCCTGGCAATCTTGTCTACTTCCAACATCCAGGAGGATAACTATATGATTTTTTTTGGGTTCACCTTCTTATTTAGCTTCTCAAGGATCCTGAATTATAGGCTCAATGTCCTTTATTTGTGGCTAGAATCCACTTATGAGTGAGTACATATCATATTCATCTTTTTGGGTCTCGGTTATCTCAGTCAGTAAAGTGTTTTTTATTTCCATGGCAAGGCAGTTTCTAAAGATCAAATGGCCTTGCCTGGACAAACAGCTCCAGAAGTAGAGACTGCACACTGGCATGTGTTGCAATATAGAATAGTTCTACACTAGCCTAGGACAACAAAGGTTTGTTTATTTGAGCACAAACTCACAGAAAGAGTAGAAATCTGCAGTCCTCTCTGCATGTGCTGGGAACTGGAACCATATCCAGCGGCCAAGGAGCTCCCACACGCCCCTACGTCTGCATTTCTAGTACATGAGCATAAACCTGGGAGAGCAGGACAAGTCTTAGCTTCCTTCAGTAACCTGCAGGTGGCCACCTTCTTAGGGAGGTCTAACCTAATTGACAAACGTTTGTGGACACTTCAGTACACTGCCTGGACCCCCTTTAATGAAGGCAGGTGGACAGCAGACAGTCAACAGTGATGACTTTCCCACTAGACTGTAAGAGAAAATGTGATCTTTCAAAGGAAAATAAAAGTACTGAATGAAAAAAATGAAGTAAAAAGAGGACAAGACTGATCCTAAGGGGTTGAGGTTTTTATTATAGGTAGAAGGGAGAAACCAAGGAGACGCAGATATGACCAGCAGACGGGACCAAGCCTTGTGAAGAGATGGAGAGAGGGGAATCAGGAGCAGTGGCCAAGAGGGCAAGGGGCAGAGGGCCAAAAGGACATGTAACCAAAATGAATGGCATGTATAAAAATCAGAGAAGCTGCGGGAAGGGAAAGCCCTGCCCAGTCCCTGACCTGGAGAAGTTTAGGGTAAGGGGCGGTGTATGTCAGCCATACCTGTAACTGGCAGGGACTGAGGGATGCTTGGAGGGAGAACCTGGTGGCCAGCATCAGCCTTGATGTGTTAATGGGCACCTCAGTTAGTCAGTTTTTCCAGAGGAGGGCGGTGAGACCTAACAGGTAGAGGGAGATTGTGAGACCCAGAGGACTAGAATGTGTGCTGTGGATAAATCCACATACGACACAGACTGTGACTAACTTCATCTAAGAGAGAAGAAGGCAGAAGTAAAGTTTGTTAGACACACTGAGGCACAACCACAGTGAGCCAAACAGTAAAGAGAAGCTGCCTGCAGAGTCAGGCTCAGGAGTCACTACTAAGGGAGACTCTGCAGGGGCGATGGGGCAGCGTCTCTCTCTCTCTCTCTCTCTCTCTCTCTCTCTCTCTCTCTCTCT